TGGTCTTCAGTGGCAGTACTGCAACCTGAAATACATAAATTTTAAATAAGATTTTAAATATATATAATAAAATGAAACGCAATTTTCAACTTAAAAATTGTTTTTGCAACATATAAACCTTATTTGTGTCCATCGCGATCTTTCAATTTTTTCAATAATTAAGTATTTTAATAAATTAATAAACAAAGCCTTGGCACTTAAAATGTAACAAATATTTTTAAAAAAGTTCATAATTACTATAATCTCGTAGCATTCAATTTAAAAAGAGCGCGTGCCTACGTTTAAGAAAAAGGGGAAGAAGAAGAAGAAGAATAAGAAGAAAACACTGCCGCGCGCCAGCGACCTCAAACGTTGCACCGAACCCTAGCGTTAAAGTATATCTATATAGTACACTTTTTAATAGGCTTTTGTGCGACGTTTGAGATGCCTGCTGCGTGCGCGCCGCTCGCACCCATACACGTGAATAAATACTCATTCACATATGCATACTCTTGTACACGCACATACTCTCCCATTTTCCATCACAGTAAACTATAAGTAGCAGCCTCAGATAAAAGAGAAACGCACCATGTGTATATTTCGTTTCTCTCTCTCTCTCTCTCTCTCTCTCGCTCTCTATCAATTTAATTTCGAAAAAAGTACTTAAAAGATGAATAGGCAGCTCTAGGCAGCTGAATCTTGTTTTATTTGGTAGATAATATATTTAATTATCATTTTAATAAGGTTTCAAAGCAGCGTTTTACAGCGTTTTAATGCAGTATCATTTGAAAACTCTGATTTTCGGAAAAATTATGTGAAAAAATGACACTATTGTTTAATAAGGTTTCAAAGCAGCATTTTACAGCGTTTTAATGCAGTATCATTTGAAAACTCTGATTTTCGGAAAAATTATGTGAAAAAATGACACTATTGTTTATGCTTTCCCTAATTCACTACTTAACAATTGATAATTAGTACTTTTTTTACATGTTCTACTCACCTTCAAAAGTGGATTCCATTTGGTCTTATTTGATTTTCTTTATTACATACAATTTTTCACCTGTACAACCGTTCTCAGTGTATTAAATGTAGAGTGACGCTTGAGCGAAGGCCACATTCCAACTGAACCTAAGAAAGGTGCATGACGAATTAGTCATCACTATGAACGATTTTAGTTTCTTGGAGGATCATTGCAGCCAACTCAAGGGTGAAAAAACCCTAAATAGAAACTAATTTTTTTGGATTTTTGGCCGCACTGTGTATCGCCCTTACGAAATGTGCTAGCACAAATTCTTGCGAGAACTGATGTTCTAAAAATAATTTTGAACTCGTGACATTAGATTTTCTTTTCAAATATTCATATCTCACCCTTTTTTTGCTGCGTCTATAAATGCGTTTATCGTGTCTTGCTTTTTCTTTGCCTTAAAAAACTTGCAAGTAAAGAAGTAACGGCCGTGAGAAAGCTAGCAAAGATATGGGGTACCACAGCAATAAGCGTTTCAGGTGATGATAACCTCAAAAGCCAAAGAGAGGAGCTGTTGGTGCAAAATGGTAAAGAAGACGATGCAAGTAAAAATTTGTTTTTTATGTTGGCAAGAAGACGCTCTCACGTTCGACCAATAACTGAAAATCTGTTGCCCCTCTTTTTTTGAACATCATTGGCTGATTTTATACCGATATCGATTGATACCAGCCTCCTTGTATTATTTTTTTTTTTCGTTAAATATGAAGTTTACTGATACTTCTCGGCTTGAAATCAGTCCTTATCTTCTTTAGGACGTCGGCAAAGCTCTGCTCTTCTACGACTTTAATGAGTATTTTCTCCTTGTTTTTCCTTTTATTGTCTCGTTTGCCGCTGTCACTACCATTAATTCTTATCTTGGGGATAAACTCTTGATTTCCTGGGTCTTTTTCCCTTTTTTAGAAGGAGGGTTACGGTTCTCCTTCGGAGCTTCTGTTTCGCTTGGCTGTCAGCATGCTTTTCATGAATCTAGATTGGATAGAGCGTGTGATTCTCTCCCTTTTTTCTAACATGTAAGTTTTTCACATCAGATTTTCATTGGCTTGTTCTAGACGGTTTTTCATCTTCCTAGTCCCTTTACGGCTATCCTTAAACTTATGCAGAAAGTTCAACGACACTTTCATACCTTCTTTTATCGGCATTGCTGTTTTTGTGTACATTGTTGTTGCTGCTTTCACTGTATCTTTGATTATTTTCTCGAGTTCTGTGAATATGGTGTCCTCCTTTATTTGCTCCATAGTGAGTTCTGATCTTCAGTTCTTGGTATATTCCAGATCCATCTCGGTGTTGTTGCTGCAAAAGCTGGCAGCACTGACGTCACTCGCTCTGCTTCCAGTGCTTAGCAGCCTGTCTCGTCCATGGCTGGGCAGGAATATGAAGCCCTTGTGTGAGTATTTTTTATCAGATGTTGTCTCCTTGCTTTCATTGTGGACGCCTTTGTGGCCTCCCCCAAAATCCGTGAGGCCAACACCAGTCACCCAGGCTTTTACTAGGTTGGAACTGGCGGCGGACTGTTTTTTTTTTTTTTTTTTTCTGAACGTGGTTCGTATGTTATTTTTCACCAATTCTGAGCTGTTCCGCGAAACGAAAGTTTCTTCTTTTGGCGCTGTGTGGTGAACAATCTATTGATTTACCTATTCATGAATAGATACATCTATTCTAACATCAAGACTGGTCGTATTACATGTTAGCATTAAATCCGCAACATTATGTTTTTCAATAGAGGCGTTTTTATGTTTCTCTATTCGATGATGATTCACACGAGCCACTGGTTGTATGAGTGAAAATGCTTGCATAAGATGTACTTGAGAGCTCATTTACGTATAGGAGTTTAACGTATAAGCTCTTCTTGTTGACTGAGATTTTGTACGTATGCACTAACATCTTGTATGAATGTGACTAATGAAACTAATTTATTCTTGGATTGGTATGAATCTATAACTGAGCATTACTTGAAATAAAAGACTTTTTAACAGAAACTCTTAACTGTTTCTACGATCTTAAAGATTAATACACAGAACATCAATGCGATAATGATTCATTGAGAATAAGACTGTTTTGAAATTAAGTGAATTGATTTGTTTTTGGGTTTTCTAAGTGCATCTATCTTAGTTATTTAAGCACTGCTACACTCTCGTCTATTTATTTTGATTTAAATAGAATCATTTTGTTTTGGTGTATCCTTATCTCATTCGTCCATAGTTTATTATTATCAACGTAATCATTTGATAACTTCTACTAAGGCTACAAAATTTCCTATCTTACAGATACCAATAGGGAAAATTGGATTAAAGATATTTAGCCAATAACTACTAAACCATTTGAAAGGATTCAAAGTTTCATTTTTAAAATGAAAACAAGCCCGATAAAGAATAACCTTACTGAGTTGAAGCGGGGGATTTCTGAGATGAAAACTATATCATCAAATTTTCAAAGATTTCGGGACAGTGTGGAAAATCCAGTAGAAAGGTAAGATACATTGATTAATCTTATAATTGTAATTTCAGGATGATTTACTTTAATCATTCACCTCACAATAAGCGTTATATTAAGGAATTTTAATGCGTATATAGAATACACTACTGGATTAACATCTTTATTGATGATTAATTTATTATTTTCCATTTACATTTTTAATAATTTAACCCTAACCAGCTGCAACATATTCTTTTACTCTGATCACTTTTGGTGGGCTTGTAAAACAAAATAATTTTCAGAAAGTCCGTGGTAACAGATTTGGCAAAGCTTCTATAAACACAAAGTTCCTCATGGTTTTAAGCATAATTAAATTTAATCAATGCATTTACTTAATAGAGTACTCGTAAGAAACTTTGATACAGTTTTTTATAGGGGTAATAAAGCGGGTTCTGAATGTGCAAAGCAGGCTGCATTGCCTACACAGTGTTGTACAGTGCATACCAATTGCACAGGTGTGTCCATCTCATCAACCTAAAAAAAAGTTTTATTCGGTGAATAAAATCATAATTATCTCTTTATATAAATAATGGCACTGATAAAAATCAGAGAAACATATCAATTTGTGGTATTTCATGTATTAAAGTAATTTTTTTCCCGATTTTCCAACTATTACTGGAATATGTTATTTTTCTGTTATAACATTGTTTCCATCACAGTCCAAGTTAAATTGTTCATTTTATTTTAAAGATATGTTAATGACAACATTACTAAGATTGCTCAGAAAATGCAATCAACGGCCCGTGTAAAAAAAAGCAAAGCCCATAAGCCCTCGAGAAAATAAGCATACCTCAAGAGTTCAGATGAAAATAAGTACAATGCAAGTTCAAGAGAAAAAGAGCAATGCTCACACATTCAGGCAAAGAAAAGCGGTGCTCTCGTTTTCAGCCGAAAAGAAGCACAGCTGGTACATTCAGATAACAAGAGGCATGGATCAAAAATCCAGATAAAAAAAAGAATGGCTCGTCGTATTCAGGTGAGAAGGAGTACAGCACAGGCGTTCGGATGAAAACAAGCACGGGTCACAATGTTACATTTTAGTTTTTTTCCATCGACGATCAATAATTTTCAAAGGAAATAATATATCACAATCATTTTTTTTAAAGATAATTCTTCGTACAGTAGAAAAAAATATAGAAAATCTAATTGAAAAATTTTCCAAGCTAAAAAATTTGTGGAAACTCGGATTTTTTTGAAAATCTAGAGTGTAAGCACTGCAGTTTTGTAATCCAATAAGATTTTTGTTTTAAAAAAAAAGTCTACTGAACATTAATGTAAACGTTTCTCAAAAGCAACATCAAAACCGCCCAATAATCAACCAAACGCGCTTCTAGGTGAGTCAACTTTGATGGTTAAAAAATCCAATACTTTTTTGGTATCAATAATAAATAAAGTTCGCCCTTTGGCGATTCAACGTAGGCTTTTAGAAACCTAATAGTTTTTTAGTATTTTTAATGAATCAAATACGCTTATAGGCGATAAAGCAATGGAAGTTACTTACTTTCGAGCTTTTTTTATAAATAATAAATAGAACACGCCTTTAAGCGAGTAAGCATCGGTGATAAGAAACTCAACAGTTGCTTTGTATTGTTAATGAAGGAACTACACTCTTAGTCGAGTAAGCATCGGTAAATAGAAACCCAACAGTTTAATCGTATTTTTAATAAATATAATATGATCCTAGGCAAGTAAGTGCCGGTGGTCATAAACCGAATTGTTTTTTTATTATTATTAATAAATAAAATACGCTTTTAGGAAAGTAATCTTCGGCGTTTATAAACATCATAGTTTTTTAGTATTATTAATAAATAAAATGTTATCTTTGGCGAGTAAGTATTGGCAATTAGAATTCGTCTTTTGTTATCTTAATCGACTCCGAAAGCCTCAAAATATGAATATTTTACAATGTAAATATGAATTTTTTGACTTCAAGGACTTTCATTTCTTTGAACTTGTGGGACTTGTGTTGTACACTGAGAGAAAAAAATTATAAAAATTAATGTGCTAGAATAATGTTAAGGTGTTGTTCAGTCTTCTGGAGACTTTTTACTGTTTCAACAATAATAACAATAATTTTTACAATTAAGGATAATTGTGTTTATCGCCAGTACAGTAATTTTTACTCTTTTTACAATAAAAACTTCTGTCAAAAAAATTGTAAAAATAAGGTTGGCAAAAGTAAAAAGTATCTAGACGGCGGAATGACACTAGACTACCACTCTGGCACAGTAATTATTATTGTTTTTTTCTCGCAGTGTATACGCTTAAGGAACTTGTCATTTTTTGCCCTTCTTATAAACCCCCTGCTGCTCAAGCTGGCCAATGGATGCAAATTATCGCAATAATCTTTATTTATCATATTCATATACGAAGAATTCATATAAAGCTAGATCTTCGAGTAATTTGTTGAACCAAACTTTCTTGTTATATATTGAAAATGAAAAAAGGAAATATNTATAATTATAAACCTAACAGTTTTTTAGTATCAATTATGTATAAAATACAGTTGAAGGTAAGTTAGTATCGTTGATTGGAAATCTAATAGGTTTTTTTGTATTATTAATGAACAAATCACACTCTTAGGTGAATAAGCGTCGGAGATTAGGAACCCTAATCTTTTTTAGTTTCAATAATAAATGAAGTACGCTTTTAAGTGAGTAAGCATCAGTTACTAGAAAATTAACAGCTATTTAGAATTAATAATAAATAAAATGTTCTCTTGAGTAAGTAGGCATCGGGATAAGCAATTAAACTGTTTTTTACTATTATTAATGCATAAAATACAAATTAGGGTGAGTAACATTCGGACGTTAGAAACCTATTTGTTTTTAAATATTGTTAATAAGCAAAATACGCATTAATGCTAGTAAGCATCGGCGTTTAGAAAACTAATAGTTTTTTAGTCTTATTAATAAACAAAGTACGCTTTTAAAAATTTTGCATTATATGAACACCTAAGTTTTTGTTATTAATAACAAATAAAATAGGATTTTAGGCGAGTAAGCATCGGCAATAAGAAACTGAATAATTCTTTCGCGTTATTAATAAATACAATCTTAGTTGAGTAAGCAACAGTTTTGTTGAAAAACCAACACTTAAGTTTTATTCTTCTTTTAATATTATCGATAAATAATGTACGTTCTCAGATAAGTAAGTATCGGTGATAAGAAACGTAAAATTTTTTTCTACTATTTTTGATAAATGAAATACAATTTAAAAAGAGTAAGATTCGGTGGTTAGAAACCTATTAGTTTTCAACCTTTTTTAATAAACAAAATATGCTTTAATGCGAGTAAGCATTGGCGTTTAGAAACATAATAGTTCTTAAGTTTTATTAAAGAATATAACACGCTCAGTGTAGTAAGCATAGGTAATTAAAAATCTAAAGGTTTTTCAGAATCATTAATTTATAAAATATGATCTTGAGTGAGTAAGAATCAGCGAGAAAAATAAAACAGTTTTTTAGTATTATTGATAAATAATTTATAATTTTAGGTGAGTTAGCGTCGGTGGTTAGAAATCTATAAGTTTTTTAGTATTATTAAAAACAAAATCCCAACAGTTCTTTAGCATTATTAAAAATCAAAATATGCCCTTAAGAAAGTAAGCATTAGCGATAAAAATCTAATCAGTTCTTCGGTATTATTAAAAAACAAAATATGCTCTTATGTGAGTAAGCATCTGCGATAAGAAACCTAACAATTTTTTCGTATTATTTGTGAATAAAACACACTCCTAGGCGAGTAAGCTTCTGCAGATAGTAACCCAATACTTTTTTGGTATTAATAATCAAAAAAGTTCGCTCTTTGGCGATAAGGGTCAACGTTTAAAAACTGAATAGTTTTCTAGTATTATTAATTAACGTAATAAACTCTAAGGCAAGTGAGCATCGTCAATAAGAAACTCTATAGTCTTTTAATATTATTAATAAATAAAATACGNTCAGGTGAGTAAGCATTGGCCGATAGAAACCTATTAATTTTCTTAGTATAATTAATGAATAAAATACGCTCTTAGTCAAGTAAGTGACGACGATTAGAAACAGTTTTTTGAGTATTTTCAATAAAAAAAAACACGCTCTCAGCCGAATAATTATCGGCAATTTGAAACCCAATGATTTTTTAGTATTAATCAGAAATAAAATATATTCTTCAGTGAGTAAGCATAAGTGAAAAAAAACCCAACAGTTGTTAGGTATTTTTGAGACATAAAACATACTCTTAGGTGAATAAGCAGTGGCGATAAGAAACCTAATAGTTCTCTTGTATCATTGATAAATAAAATACACTCTTTGGCGAGTAAGCTTCACTAATTATAATTATAAACCTAACAGTTTTTTAGTATCAATTATGTATAAAATACAGTTGAAGGTAAGTTAGTATCGTTGATTGGAAATCTAATAGGTTTTTTTGTATTATTAATGAACAAATCACACTCTTAGGTGAATAAGCGTCGGAGATTAGGAACCCTAATCTTTTTTAGTTTCAATAATAAATGAAGTACGCTTTTAAGTGAGTAAGCATCAGTTACTAGAAAATTAACAGCTATTTAGAATTAATAATAAATAAAATGTTCTCTTGAGTAAGTAGGCATCGGGATAAGCAATTAAACTGTTTTTTACTATTATTAATGCATAAAATACAAATTAGGGTGAGTAACATTCGGACGTTAGAAACCTATTTGTTTTTAAATATTGTTAATAAGCAAAATACGCATTAATGCTAGTAAGCATCGGCGTTTAGAAAACTAATAGTTTTTTAGTCTTATTAATAAACAAAGTACGCTTTTAGGCAAGTCAACATTGGCATTAAAAATTAATAGTTTTTTAGTATAATTAATAAATTTAATACGCTCCTAGCTAGGTGATAATCGGCGAACTAAAAAAAAATTAAACAGTTTTTAATATTAATAATGAATCAAATTCGATCTCGGGAGAGGTAATAACGGCGGTTGGAAACCCAGTCGTTTTTTAGTATTATTAACGAATATACTAT